TGTTGTTGACAGGCTATATATTCTAGTGTGATACTCTCACTAAAATACTCATGTTGTTGTTGACAGGCTATATATTCTAGTGTGATACTCTCACTAAAATCCTTATGTTGTTGTTGACAGGCTATATATTTAGGGCCCCGTATCAGAGATACGGGTGCCCTATAGTAATCACTCTGTCTGTCTGTCCGTCCACAAATTCTGTTCTTGGCTGATAACTTTGGTATTTATTGACCGAGGTTCATGAAACTTGGTCAAGAGGTTCAGTCCACAAAAATACACAATGAGGTTTTTAAAAAAAAAAAATCAAGGTCAAAGGTCAAGGTCATTATGTTCAACGGTCAAGGTCAAATTTTACATCTTGTCACTGATGAACATTTTGCCATGACATCATGAAGCAAAGTTGATCAGAATTGAACAAAGAGTTAACTGACCAAAGGTCAAGGTCATCGGGTCAGGGGTCAAGGTCAAATTTTGTAGCTTTTCACTGGTGAAAATTTTACTATGACATTATAAAGCAAAGTTGTTCGGAATTAAACAAAGAGACACATTGAGGTAAAAAGTCAAGGTCAAAGGTCAAGGTCATTAGATTCAAAGGTCAAGGTCAAATTTGCATCTTTTCACTGATAAACATTTTGTTATGACATGATGAAGCAAAGTTGATCAGAATTAAACAAGGAGTCAACTGACCAAAGGTCAAGGTCATTGGGTCAAAGGTCAAGGTTAAATTTTGTACCATTTCCCTGATGAACATTTTGTTATGACATTATGAAGCAATGTTGTTCAGAACTTAACACAGAGTCACTAGGTTAATGGTCAAGGTCATTTGGGTCCAAAGGTCAAAGACAAAGTGGATCTCTGACTTTGACCCTGGCTCTTGATGTAGGAGGTATATAAGGTGAAATAAAACAAATCAAAGCTAACAAATTAGTATTGCACCGGTATTTACATTTCTGTTAGCCCAGCAAATATGGAGGTGGAAGGAAATAAGACTCCCATCATAGCACATGTAAAATGTATATTTTGCTTCCTTGCGATTTATTTTTAAGTCCAAATGTCAAACGTCAAGCTCAGCTATATGGATAGATTGCTTCTTGATGACTATGGGGGATATATTGCCACAAGACGGGGCCCTTACTGACCTGTCAGTGTTCTAGTCTATTGTGATACTCTCACTAAAATCCTCATGTTGTTGTTGACAGGCTATATATTCTAGTGTGATACTCTCACTAACATACTCATGTTGTTGTTGACAGGCCATATATTCGAGTGTGATACCAGGAGAGTTAATGCGTGGCAGCTTCCCACAAATGGTGTCCTTCCCTTCCTGGCTTGGACAAAACTCGTCACGGGGGAAATCAGAGAGGATTCTCCAGGAAACACGTACTCATATGAGGCTTAAGTTAGTGTTGACAGTAATCAGTTAACTTGATACTAATAAAATATAGATAAGGCCAAATAAAATTAATTACTTGGTTCTCAGGCCAATTTTATTCAAAAGAGATGTTGCAGGGTGGTATTTTCTTTTCTTCATTTTAAATGGCAAAAACGAGACGAGGGTGATTTTATTTTTATTGTGTAGTTTGTAAAATGTTCATTGTGGGCATTACCTTGTCTTTTTAGGTCACCTGAGCTTTAGCTCAAGTGACCTATTGCTATCCATCTTCGTCCGTCGTCCATCGTTTGTCGTCCGTTAACATTTTACATTTTCAACTTAAGCTGAAATACTGGCAAAGGGATTTCATTAATATTTCATGGGAAGGTTACTGACATCTCCCTGACCAAGTGTTGTTATTTTTCGGGTCGAGCAGAAATCCAATATGGCCGCCACGGCGCCATTTTGAAAAACTATTTCAAACTTAAAGTCAAGTTCTGCTGGGCCAACTGAACTGAAACTTTGTAGGAATGATCAACTTATGGTCCTGACAAAGTGTTGTTATTTTTCCGGTCGATCAGAAATCCAATATGGCCGACACAGCCGCCATTTTGAAAAACTATTTCAAACTTAAAGTCAAGTTCTACTGGGCCTATTGAACTGAAACTTTGTAGAAATGATCGACTCATGGTCCTGACAAAGTGTTGTTACTTTTCGGGTCGATCAGAAATTCAATATGGCCGCTACGGCCCCCATTTTGAAAAAAGTATTTCAAACCTAAAAACAAGTTCTAATAGGCCGATTTAACTGAAACTCGTTCTAGGAATGATCAGCTCATGGTCCTGACAAACTTAAGTTAACGTTATACTTAACTATTTTGTACTCAAATTGGTACATATTTCAACAAAAAAAAATAATAATACTGTAGGACTCAAGTCACCGTTTAGGCCCATGGGCCTCTTGTTATAGTTGTGTAGAGACCCGTCATAGAGCAAGCCTCTGAAAATCCCCCCACGATGTTCCAGACTAGAATCACAAACGCCCTAACCCTTATTTGTACCGAAATGAGTGCCATTTGTACACAAGACTAATAAGTCATAATCATTTTAACGCTTGCCTGTATATCAATCCTTATCTTTATTCAAACTTTTCGGGACTTGGGTGACTAACGAGTTAAAATGACATGCGGACCAATTTTCCAGGTTTTTTTTAAAGACGGCGACTGGCCCATTCATGATTTTTTTTTTATTACTTTCACGATAAAGTAATCAACATTTTTTGGCCTAACAATGCAGACTTCAGTGGGGACGGGTCAGGTTTAATTTATACTAAAATCTGTGCATGTTATGTCATAGGGATTAATTATTTGTATGCATAACACTAGTTTTGTAAAATAACAACAGATATTTAAGGTCTTCCATTAGTATTTTCAAAAAACCAATTTGAACTGGTAGTTGATATGTGTTTATATTACACGAGGCCAATATGTTAAATAGGCATCAGTCACCTCTACCTCAACAAACAGTTACCTGGTACTCTACACCCACAAACAGTTACCTGGTACTCTACACCCTCAAACAGTTACCTGGTACTCTACACCCACAGACAGTTACCTGGTATTCTACACCCACAAACAGTTACCTGGTACTCTACACCCACAAACAGTTACCTGGTATTCTACACCCACAGACAGTTACCTGGTAATTTACACCCACAAAGAGTTACCTGGTATTCTACACCCACAGACAGTTACCCACAGTTACCTGGTATTCTACACCCACAAACAGTTACCTGGTATTCTACGTCCACAAACAGTTACCTGGTATTCTGCACCCATAAACAGTTACCTGTTACTCTACACCCACAAACAGTTACCTAGTATTCTACACCCACAGACAGTTACCTGGTACTCTACACCCACAGACAGTTACCTGGTACTCTACACCCACAAACAGTTACCTGGTATTCTACACCCACAGACAATTACCTGGTATTAAGTTGATTGAAGTGACCTGCCACTGATAATTGATTTATATCTCTGCTTTGTTCTGTAGGATCTCTGGTGACAAACGTAGTCTCAATATGGATTACCTCCCTTACATGCGCCACTCACTGACGCGCCCCCTGGTGGCACGAGAAAGCGAGGGCGTACCAGAGGTGATACATCTGATGGAGGAATATGACATCATTAAGGAAGACTTTGACAACATCCTGGAAATATCAAAATGGCCGAACAGTGATGATCCTTTCAAACAGCTTTCTACCAAGGTAAGTCATAGTTGTCTCCCCTCTCACCATTCAGTAACTGTCTTGCTGCTGCTAAATTTCTTCTGTCATGTTCTCTGTACTCGAACATTACAACTGTTAACAGATTAACAGATAGATGCAAGTGTAAGATCTTAAGCAGAAATTTTCCTGTAAGATTACTATAAATATTTAACCAGCAAAGATTTTCCTGTAAGATAATAAGCAGAACTAAGTGTGTAAGGTATCTAGAATCCTATTTTGTCCCTGTTACCAGACTAAGTCGGCCTTCACAAGAACCTACAATAAGGAAGTACACATGACACCCTACTCCACCGGAGTCCTCACCAAGAAGAAGCGTGGAGGAGGTGTGTCGGTGGCTGGACCTGAGGAAGGCGACGAGGAGGAGGAGGACGCTGCATCAGAAGACAGCGACAATGACAAGGACGACTTACAAAAAGACACCATGATTAAAGTACAGCTTTATTTTATTTTTCCTAAGTATTTTGTAGTACCAAAATAATCCTGTTATGTGCCCATAAAAATATTTTACATGACAATGTATGGTGAGTGTCTGACCACCTGTCAGTCTGTATGTCTTTTTGGTCCATTTATCCACACTTAGTGATCCCCAAGATAACTGACTTAAATATCATGAAACTTTGTAATCATGTTCAAAGAATAATTGTGAAGCTTTCATTCAAAGTTAAGCAGGAAGTCAAAGCTCCATACAGTATATATCAGTTAACTGTAGAACTGTATATTGTTTCGCCCCCACAGTACTCTGTTAATTGATATCAAGACTGCTGGGATTTTAGAATACTGCAGTCTAACTTGTGGAAATTGATATCAAGACTGCTGGGATTTTAGAATACTGCAGTCTAACTTGTGGAGTTTCATTTGTAAGAATGAATGTGTTATTTTAATGATATTTATAGAAATCAGTACAAATAATGTTGTTATTCTTATTTACTTGTTTGTAGTTGGTTAGCAGCTGTTTACCTGTTGTTGGTGTTTTTTTGTAGCAGACAAAAAAGAAGCCAGCTGCAAGCAAAGAGAAAGCTAAAGAAACAACAGGCAAGGGTAAAGGCAAGGGCAAGACCAGCAAGAAGAGATCCTAGTAGGGGGTCATGTGGAAAGGCAAACTATGGAAGATCCTGGTGGGGGACCATCTGGAAAGACAAACTATGGAAGGGTCCTGGTGGGAGACCATGTGAAAAGGCAAACTATGTATGGCCCTTCAGGGGACCATGTGGAAATGCAAACTATGTATGGCCCTTCAGGGGACCATGTGGAAAGGCAAATTATTGAAGGTCCCAATAAAATCTACATGGAAAAGGAAGCTATGAAAAATCATAGTTAGGAGCAGTGTAAAAACATAATATGTGAAGGACATAGCGAGGATTAAAGTGGTAGCAGACTAGTAAATCTCGCAGCTGTGGACAGTGTTGAAAGGAAGTCTACAAGATCCTCCTAGTTGGGGTATATAGAAGGTCCTAGCGAGGAGGTTTATGGTATATAGAAGGTCCTAGCGAGGAGGTTTATGGTATATAGAAGGTCCTAGCGAGGAGGTCTATGGTAAAGCAATCTGTGAAGGACCTAGCCAGGGTTGAAGTAGGTAGCAAACTAATGAATCTCACAACTGTGAAAAAGCCATTAGAACAATGCTTCTGACCAGGAATCTTGAGACGGTGAAGTGTGAAGGTCCAGTGGTTATTGAACCTAACATCAGAGGACACTGATGGCCATTGAACATAGTGATTATTGTGTGGTCGGCTGTGAACTTTGACCTGTGGTGAGGACCAGGTGCTTGTCTTTGACCGATGTTGGTCAATACATGGGAATACTAGCTTAACTGTGGATATGGGAATGAAAAAAGGAACTTGCTTCATTGTGAATATCAACATAATTGCCGACCTATGGACACAGGAATAGAAAATGTACTGGTGATTGCTTGTTTATCTGCTTTTACCTGTGATAAAACGTGGGAGGGGCAGGAGTAGATATCAACTCTGGGCTCATTCCTAAATTTCTCTTTATAATGCAGGGAAGTACTGTAAAGTCTTACCACAGGTATAGATATTAACACATTTACCCCTGAAGACACCTTTGAACTCTTCCAATTCAAAGGTTGGAATAGTGCATTATGAAATTTCAGGGGTGATTGAGTTAATGAAAAATCAGTGTTTCCTCTCATTGGTGGGTTGTGTTATATCGTATGAGTATCAATACTTATTGACTTGGGATGATTACTAGGAACCTGTTGACTGTGGTAGTAGATTCACCAATCCACTGTTGTATTTTCTATCGGTTCGGTTCAAGGTTTTCTTTATTCTCCGTCTATGATATGGTCACCGCACACTCTACGTCAGTATGGGAAGGCATGTGTGGTTAATAGTACGACCATTATAGATGTTACGTTGTGTGTGATTGGTTGAATGTGATTAATTTGTAGTCTTATAATCCAATCGTTTGATTTCATTTCAAAACCACAACTGCATGTGGCAACTCATTTTACTGTTAATGAGACATTTAAGTTTAAAATACCTCTGTGATTCCTGCATGTAATTGGTGCTGGAGTACGTTTGAATTTTGTACTTCAGAGAAAAACAAGAGACTGATTACTAATTAATTTCTACATGTATATATATGTTTGGTTGCAACATGTAAGACATGGCTACTCGCTTAAAATGAACAAATATTTTTGGGGAATGTTATCATATTATACATGTACCATAAATGTCAACTATCCCTCTTTGAAAGAGATTGTCCCTCTGAACCCAAATATTCACTACCTGATATTTCAGAAGGCATGGTCTGGTCCCTCTATTTCATAATGATGACCAGAAGGCTTTAGTCACTCTCAGAGGCCAATGCCAAATTTTTACAGCATATAATGCTAATACATGTAATACCACGGGTAAAATTTTATACAACTCAAAAATGTGTTAAAATCAGTCAGGTGAATGAAAATGGCCAAACCAAAGAGTGTGATCAGTACACATATACTTCAGGCTCTGTTTGACAGAATGATGGCAAACATACAAATGTCCTGCAATGTTTCAAACCATGCAGTTATTTATAAGATAAAAAATATGGAGAAATTGTCGATTTTGTGTCTTTTCTTTCTACCATACATTTGGAAGGCAGCAACAGTTCTGTTTAGTATGGACTGGGTTAACTTTGTACCATAGTCAATCTAGTAAATGTGCCTGCATGTGTCTGAAAGAAGTTTTCCTAATTTACTCTCAAGTTCTAATGCAAGATTTACCTAAAGATAAAATGAGTTTCCAGGCCCTCAGTGAAAGAATGATCTGTTATATGATTTTGTAAAAACATACATTGCTTTTTAGGATGAAATCAGTTACAATTTTTTTTTTTTTTTTTTTAAATATAATACAACTGTATCAGAATCTTGTGTTGTAGTATCATGTATCAAGTGACAGTAATTTTAAAGGAGTGGAAAAGCAGTAGTGACTATTATTTTGAGAAAATCATGGTCTTGTTGATATTATAAAACAATATCCTCTATATTGATTTGATTGTTAGAGACCCCTTTGACCTTTTGTATGAATGTCCTCTGTCTGGAGTAGGACTATTGTTGATATAAATATACAAACTCCTCTAGATTGATTGATTGTTCACATGTCCAATAGTGCAGGTCCCTTGGGCCTGTTTTCTGATGAGACAACCCAACTGTTGTTGATACCTTTAGATTGATTGATTGCTACGTATACAGGTCCCAGCGACATTTTGTATGAATGTACTAGTGCTAATAATGGCTTATAAGAATGAACAATAAATTATATAAAACTCGACCTTTGATGATTTGTTGTAAGTGTGCTGTTCCTTTACAAAACTGGTTATACAGGTATAAGTGTACTAGGTGTGGGGTACATAGAAAACCAGAAGGTGTTAGGTACCTGATGCATCAACGCCCCACGGCCAAAATTAACTAGGAATGAAAACAACTGACATGAAAGTAGCTTAAATAAATCAATTATGAAAATAAATACATGTCTTGCGAAACTTTTATGAAAAATAATGAAGGTGAAATACACAAAGAGTAATTAACAACTGTGTTCTGAATTTGAACTCTGGACCACTGATTTGAACTCTGGACCAGTGATTTCAACCCGGTGGCTCTAATAAACAGTTTCCTTCAGGGTGGTGTAATGTACACTGAGGAAGTTTACCAGCGTTGGGACGATTGCTAACTCAGAGATTTTAATGGCATTCAATACAAAACACATACTGGTTGTGTTTTAAGTGTCGTTTGTAGCTAGCACAGTTTTAGATTTGACTGATCATGGTAGGTGGTCTAGGATACAATTTTCCCTTCTACTAAAACACAATGTATTATACATAAATAATCTTTATTAACATCGTGTACGCTGTCAATAACAATCGTTTGCGCTGTAATGTAATGTTTTCGTGGTGGAGGAAAACCTAAGGATAAAAACTCGGAAGAAACTTTGTACTTTTATCAGAATAATTAATAACAATTTTTGGCCTCCTTGATACCAATGTGCATTTATTTAGAAACAGTACTGTGTACTACCGACTACGAACACTACAATTACTATACATTATATTGTAAATAGGTTTCTCTATACATTGTATTGTGAGAGACATTTAATTTGAATTAAATTGAATTGGGAGAGTGGTCTGAAGCTCGCGCTTAATTGAACACAGAAGTAACAAATTGCTCAGCTTCAACTTTATTTCTCTTTACAAAATTATAAATGTAGAGAAAACATATTTACCTCAGTATACAATATCAAATGTAATATATATGGAAGACAAATCATGATACTTTTTTAAAACAAAATTTTGATTTTGCATAAATTTTAACATAGTTTGTATTCATTAGTTCTGATGAGAACTTAACAGTATTTGGCATTACAGAGTAGTATTTGTATAAAGGGACATGCAACAGCACAATAATTAAAGACGTCGGTTCTTCCAACCGTATGCAGACAACCTAGGATTCAGAGCGATTTCCAATACCCAATATACTGACGAAATCCATGTCTACCGCATCAATTAATGGTAGGAAGATTTCAACGAGAGGCTGTCCACATGGACAGTAATAAATTACATGTAGCTCGCTGTGGGAGTCCTTTCAGATTTGTTCAAATAAATGACCTTGACCCACTTTCGAAGTAACTGGAATCAAATTCTGAAGACTTGTAGTATCAAAGGTAATGACATTCAGTGCTGTATCTTGTTTCAGTTGTGTAAAAATTATCGTGGGTGTAGATTTCTAAATATGTCTGCAGTATAACTGTTATATTTGAGATGGGATTGTCCTACAGTAAAACAACATTATCTTAATACTCTTAATCAAGTTTATTACAGTCAGTTATTCCCTACGTTTGTGCGGGGTTTAATTTCCTACCAACATCCAGTGTCATATGAAGACAGGTAAAGATGTTTTGGTACTTCACAAAAGGTATTTCAATATCTTGTAAGATTTCTGGCACTTGGAAAAAGTTCATCTTTGCGCTTGTTTTTAGCCCACCATCATCTGATGGTGGGCTATTCAAATCACCCTGCGTCCGTGGTCCGTCGTCCGTCCTTAAACAATTCTTGTTATCGGTATTTCTCAAGAAGTACCAGAGGGATCTTTCTCAAATTTTATATGTAGGTTCCCCTTGGTCCTTAGCTGTGCAGGGCAACTTTTGAGACTGATCAGATAAACAACATGGCCGACAGGCAGCCATCTTGGATTTTGATAGTGAAAGTTTGTTATCGCTATTTCTCAAGAAGTACCAGAGGGATCTTTCTCAAATTTTATATGTAGGTTCCCCTTGGTCCTTAGCTGTGCAGGGCAACTTTTGAGATTGATCGGATAAACAACATGGCCGACAGGTAGCCATCTTGGATTTTGATAGTGTGGGTTTGTTACCGCTATTTCTCCGGAAGAACTAGAGGGATCTTTCTTAAATTTTATATGTAGGTTCCCCTTGGTCCTAGCTGTGCAGGGCAATTTTAGAGACTGATCGGATAAACAACATGGCCGACAGGCAGCCATCTTGGATTTTGATAGTGAAAGTTTGTTATCGCTATTTCTCGGGAAGTACGGGAGGGATCTTTCTCAAATTTTAAATGTAGGTTCCCCTTGATCCCTCGTTGTGTATGTTATATTTTGAGACTGATCATAAAAACAAAATGGATTAAAAGAAGAACTAAACAGATCTTTCTCATATTGCAATGATCGATTCTATTTCTTTCACATTAAGTACTGTACTAGTAAATATGTGAAATGACAAACTCACTTTGAAGGTTGGCTTTCATACACATCAGTATTAAGTTTAGATCAAAAGTTACCACAAGGTGCATACACTGTTAACATGACTCGATCAAACAGATTAGAGGAAAGAAGAGAAAAGATCGAACTGACAAAGAACTAATAAAGATGGTACAAAGGTGGGCGCCAAGATCCCTCTGGGATCTCTTGTTTACTCTCCCCAAAAAGAATTTGGGGGCCAATGCAGGTTTCCCATTATCCTTTAATGTTCATGTTTACTTTTGAAACTGATCAGTTAAACAAAATAGCCTACTGATAGCCATCTATGATTGTTGACATTGAAGGTTTGTTAGCACGTGCCTTAGCCGGTACAGAAACGACCAGATACCGGCACGTGTTCTTAGCCTGTACAGAAACGACTAGACACCGACACGTGTCTTAGCCTGTACAGAAACGACTAGGTACCGACACGTGTCTTAGCCTGTACAGAAACGACTAGATACCGACACGTGTTCTTACCCTTTACAGAAACGACTAGATACCGACACGTGTCTTAGCCTGTACAGAAACGACTAGATACGGACACGTGTCTTAGCCTGTACAGAAACGACTAGATACCGACATGTGTCTTAGCCGGTACAGAAACGACTAGATACCGACACGTGTCTTAGCCTGTACAGAAACGACTAGATACTGACACGTGTCTTAGCCTATACAGAAACGACTAGATACTCACACGTGTCTTAGCCTGTACAGAAACGACTAGATACCGATACGTGTTCTTAGCCTGTACAGAAACGACTAGATACACACACGTGTCTTAGCCGGTACAGAGACGACTAGATACCGACACGTGCCCTAGCCGGTACAGAAACGACCAGATACCGACACGTGTTTTAGTCTCTACAGAAACGACTAGATGCCGACACGTGTTCTTAGTCTGTACAGAAACGACTAAATACCGTACGTGTCTTAGCCTGTCCAGAAACGACTAGATACGGACACGTGTCTTAGCCTCTACAGAAACGACTAGATGCCCACACGTGTCTTAGCAGGTACAGAAACGACTAGCTACCCACACGTGTCTTAGCAGGTACAGAAACGACTAGCTACCCACACGTGTCTTAGCAGGTACAGAAACGACTAGCTACCCACACGTGTCTTAGCCTGTGCAGAAACGACTAGATACCGGCACGTGTCTTAGCCTGTACATAAACGACTAGATACCGACCCGTGTTCTTAGCCTGTATAGTAACAACTAGATACCGACACGTCTCTTAGCCTGTACATAAACGGCTAGATACCGATACGTGTTCTTAGCCTGAACAGAAACGACAGGATACCGACACGTGTTCTTTGCCTGTACAGAAACGACAAGATACCGGCACGTGTTCTTAGCAGGTACAGAAACGACTAGATTCCCACACGTGTCTTAGCAGGTACAGAAACGACTAGAAACCCACACTTGGCTTAGCCGGTACATAAACGACTAGATACCGACATGTGTCTTAGCCTGTACATAAACGACTATGTTCCGACACGTGTTCTTAGTCTGTACAGAAACGACTATATACCGACACGGGTCCTAGCCGGTACAGAAACGCCAAGATACCCACACGTGTTCTTTGCCTGTTCAGAATCGACTAGATACCCACACGTGTTCTTGGCCTGTACAGAAACGAATAGATACCGTACGTGTCTTAGCCTGTACAGTAACAACTAGATACAGACACATTTTAAGATCCAGAATCGTGTTCTTAGCCTGTAACGAAACGTCTTAGATACCGACACGTGTTCTGACCCTGTACAGAAACGACTACATACCGATACGTGTTCTTAGCCGGTACAGAACCGACTAGATACCGACACGTGATCTTAGCCTGTACAGAAATGACTAGATACCGACACGTTTCTTAGCCTGTACAGAAACGGCTAGATACCGCCCCGTGTCCTAGCCGGTACAGAAACGGCTAGCTACCCGCACGTGTCTTAGCAGGTACAGAAACGACTAGCTACCCACACGTGTCTTAGCAGGTACAGAAACGACTAGCTACCCACACGTGTCTTAGCCGGAACAAAAACGACCAGATACTGACACGTATCTTAGCCTGTACAGAAATGACTAGATACCGACACGTGCCCTAGCCGGTACAGAAACGACTCGATACCGACACGTGTTCTTCTTAGCCTGTACAGAACGACTAGATACCGACCCGTGTCTTAGCCTGTACGGAAGCGACTAGTTACCGACACGTGTCTTAGGCTGTACAGAAACGACTAGATCCCCACACGTGTCTTAGCCGGGACAGAAACGACTAAATACCGTACGTGTCTTAGCCTGTCCAGTAACGACTAGATACCGACTCGTGTCCTTAGCCGGTACAGAAAAGACTAGATACCCACACGTGTCTTAGCCTGTAAAGAAACGACTAGATACCGACTCGTGTCCTTAGCCGGTACAGAAAAGACTAGATACCCACACGTGTTCTTAGCCTGAACAGAAACGACTAAATACTGACACGTGTCTTACCCTGTACAGAAACGACTCGATACCGACACGTGTTCTGACCCTGTACAGAAACGACTTAATACGCACATGTGTTCTTAGACTGTACAGAAACGACCAGATACCGGCACGAGTTCTTAGCCTGTACAGTAACACCTCGATAACCACACGTGTTCTTCGCCTGAACAGAAACGACAAGATTCCGACACGTGTTCTTAGCCGGTACAGAAACGGCTAGATTCCGAGACGTGTTTTTAGCCTGAACAAAAACGACAAGATTCCGACACGTGTTCTTAGCCTGGACAGAAACGACAAGATACGACTAGATACCGACATGTGTCTTAGCCTGTACAAAAACGACTAGATACCGATTCGTGTTCTTAGCCTGTATAGTAACAACTAGATACCCACACGTTTCTTAGCCGGTACAGAAACAACTAGATACCGACACGTCTCTTAGCCTGTACATAAACGGCTATTTACCGACAGGTGTTCTTAGCCTGAACGTACAGAAACGACAAGATCCCCACACGTGTCTTAGCAGGTACAGAAACGACTAGATTCCGACACGTGTTCTTAGTCTGTACAGAAACGACTAGACAGAAACGACTAGATACAGACACGTGTCTTAGCCGTTACAGAAACGACTAGATTCCGACACGTGTTCTTAGTCTGTACAGAAACGACTACATACCGATACGTGTTCTTAGCCTGGACAGAAACGACAAGATACGACTAGATACCGACAAGTGTCTTAGCCTGTACAAAAACGACCAGATACTGACACGTGTCTTACCCTGTACAGAAACGACTGGATACCGTACGTGTCTTAGCCTGTAAAGAAACGACTAGATACCCACCGGTGTCTTAGCCGGTACAGAGACGACTAGATACCGACACTGCTAGCCATCTATGATTGTTTACATTGAAGGTTTGTTAGCACGTGCCTTAGCCGGTACAGAAAAGACTAGATACCGACACGCGTCTTAGCCTGTACAAAAACGACTAGATACGCCCACGTGTTCTTAGCCTGTAACGAAACGTCTTAGATACCGACACGTGTACTTAGCCTGAACAGAAACGACAAGATTCCGACACGTGTTCTTAGCCGGTACAGAACCGACTAGATCCCGACACGTGTTCTTAGCCTGAACGTACAGAAACGACAAGATACCGGCACGTGTTCTTAGCAGGTACAGAAACGACTAGAAACCGATACGTGTTCTTAGCCTGATCAGAAACGACTAGATACCCACGCGTGTCTTAGCCGGTACAAAAACGACCAGATACTGACACGTGTCTTTGCCTGTACAGAAACGACTACATACCGATACGTGTTCTTAGCCGGTACAGAACCGACTAGATCCCGACACGTGTCTTAGCCTCTACAGAAACGACTAGATACACACACGTGTCTTAGCCGGAACAAAAACGACCAGATACCGACACGTGTTTTAGTCTCTACAGAAACGACTAGATACTTACACGTGTCTTAGCCTGTGCAGAAACGACTAGATACTGGCACGTGTCTTAGCCTGTGCAGAAACGACTAGATACCCACCGGTGTCTTAGCCGGTACAGAGACGACTAGATACCGACAAGTGTCTTAGCCTGTACAGAACCGTCTAGATATTCACACGTGTCTTAGCCTGTACAGAAACGACTTAATACGCACATGTGTTCTTAGCCTGTACAGAAACGACCAGATACCGGCACGTGTTCTTAGCCTGTACAGAAACGACAAGATACCGACTTAATACGCACATGTGTTCTTAGCCTGTACAGAAACGACCAGATACCGGCCCGTGTTCTTAGCCGGTACAGAAACGACTAGATACCCACACGTGTTCTTCGCCTGTACAGAAACGACCAGATACCGGCACGTTTTCTTAGCCGGTACAGAAACGACTAGATACCCACACGTGTCTTAGACTGTACAGAAACGACTAGATACCGACACGAGATCTTAGCCTGTACAGAAACGACTAGATACCCTCACGTGTTCTTGGCCTGTACAGAAACGACTACATACCCACCCGTGTTCTTAGCCTGTACAGAAACGACCAGACACCGGCACGTGTTCTTAGCCGGTACAGAAACGACTAGATACCGTACGTGTCTTAGCCTGTACAGAAACGACTAGATACCCACACGTGTCTTAGCCTGTACAGAAACGACTAGATACTGACACGTGTCTTAGCCTGTACAGAAACGACTAGATACTGACACGTGTCTTAGCCTGTACAGAAACGAATAGATACCGACACGCGTTCTTAGCCTGTACAGAAACGACTAGATACTGACACGTGTCTTAGCCTGTACAGAAACGAATAGATACCGACACGCGTTCTTAGCCTGTACAGAAACGACTTAGATACCGACACGTGTTCTTAGCCTGTACAGTAACAACTAGATACAGACACATTTTAAGATCGAGAATGTTGGAATTGGTACAGCAGATCAATTAGGGATCCGTCAATGTACCCTTAACATTCGTCTATAGAAGATCACGTGGTGATATGACAGCTTTATTATGAATTATTTTCGGAAAATATGATAAAGAAGTCAGTCTTATTTACAGGTTCAAACACAAGAGGCCAAAACTTTAAAATACCAGGGCCAGGGCGGGACCCAAAAGGGAAAATTAACCAATATTTCAAAAATCTTCTTCTCCAGACTCAGAGGTATTACAGTCATTTTCTCTGCATGGATGGAAAGATCATCAGGGGCTTTATTTAAATTGTAAATTTCAGGACCCCCGAGCTATCCGTTCTCCCTTGGGGAGGGGGTAAAGTTTACTATAGTTTATATAGGGAAATAACACTTTTGGGTATATTTTGACAACTTTCTGTAGGAAATTATTTTTACTTGGTGAGAATTATCCTTGGAGGTAGATGGTTTCAAATTGTAAAATTGAGATTCCTACCCCGACCCCTGGGGCCAGGGCGGGGCCCCAAAGGGAAAATTAATCAATATTTCAAAAATCTTCTTCTCCAGACTCAGAGGTACTACAGTGATTTTCTTTACGTGGAAAGAAAGATCATCAGGGGCTTTATTTAAATTGAAAATATCAGGACCCCGAGCTATCCGTTCTCCCTTGGGGAGGGGTTAACGTTTAATATAGTTTATATAGGGAAATAACACTTTTCGGTATATATTTTATCCATTTTCAGCAGAAAATTGCTCAAACTTAGTCAGAATCATCTTGGGTAAATGAGAGTTTTACTTTGTAAAATTAGGATTCCTGCCCCATCCCCAGGGGCTAGGGCGGGGCCCCAAAGGGAACATTTACCAATATTTTCAAATTCTTATCCATTGATGACATGACAAGTATTGTATTTCACTTAGTTTACATGCTGATTTCCACATCACATCTAAACAATAAAATAAAGCTACCAGTATCTATGATATAACTCAGGTGACCGCTAAGGCCCTTGGGCCTCTTGTTACTCTTTGACATGATTCAAGTGAGTTACAAGAAAGTTGGTTTTTAATACAGAATCAATGCTTGAGCATGAGACCGGTTTCATGAATTCCGGGCCCTGGTCTGACCGTTACATTTCTCTTTCTACTGTTAAAAAATCGGTGAGCTTGCAAACCCTTGCTTCAAGCCTCGGGTCCTACTAGGCTTGAAGCAAGGGGATACCCGAACCTTGGTAGTAATTAGTGTTGTCTTCGGGGGCGAACACTTACAATAAATGGGTCGATCGGTGGCGACCAGCTAGCTCAATTGGTAGAGCGTCCGTCTAGAATTAGGAACGTTCCGGGTTCGAACCCCGGTGTGGCCGTTACAGTTCTCTCTCTCCTGTTACATATATAAAGAGTATTCGCTGTTAAATCTAACACAGGCTTGTTGATACTTGGAACAGCCCCTCCCTCCGAATGCAGTACACGCAATGACGATGGCAGTTAAACAATTTGATCATTAAAAAGATGAACACTGGAAAAATCAATCGCAAATGAATTGTTTTAAAGAAAAAATATAGCTAAGATGTACAAAATCACAATTGTAATCATGTGTATTAATATTATGAGCTGGTTGTCGAAGGATTGTAAATCCTGTACATATTGTCGGAATAAATCTGTGTTTAACAGAAGACCCAGAAGAAACCCTTGGTTCTGCTGGGGGCACGTTAGTCGCCTCTTCTGTCAGAAACTAGTCCTATATCTGATAAAACGTTATCTTATACGTTTCCAATATTCAATTAGGTGACGTAAAATTGAAGTAACCTTAAAACAATAACGCGGACCAACCCTCACCCTTCTCGAAATGTCTTGATCACCGGTCATGTGTGACTTTAATTGATGTCATAAAAAATACACCAAATGTAAATGAATTAATCTTGATATACACGTTTACCGTTGTGAAGTATTCAATATAGTACATAATACACAACTGTCAAGGACTTACAAAGAAACTCACGGGTACGTGGGTGTGTATACACAGGACGGTTTGTATACGACACAGGGGACAGGTACGAAACAATTATAATGATTGTTAATGGTCGTCAGACGTGTCAAACGGTACCCGAGAACTGTTTGGTTTATGGAGTCGTCTGCTTTAATATTGATATACGAAGATATTTGTAAAGAAGTGTACAAAGAAGGCGCATTTTAGCACTGACAGGTGTATATGTATGTATGGCCTGGTCGGTCACTACAGTGTGACTGTGTCACTAATTAAGACTACTGGCGCTGCCCTATGTCGTATATATAAACACCACAGAGTAACAGTCTATATTATGAAAACAATGTCGTAAACGTACTTAGGAAACAGAAACGCCAGTTGTTCCCTAATGGACGCGCCTTGAATAGTTGTGACGTATCTGGCCACGGCACATATCTCTGCCCCAGGGATTCACCACTGAACAATAACCCCCGACTCCCGGGAAATCACAAGACCCCGGCAGTTGGATTAATCAAGATTGGCACGGTCCTCGACAGTCATACCCCACCCGGCCCTGAGGGAATCTCCGTGGACCCCGGGCCGAGTGGGCAAGCGAAACATCCTGGGGCCAAGGGAATGACCGAGGACACCCCGGAGTTCACCGATATATTGGCTATAACCTCAAAGTAAGTATTGTTTTATCTCTGTAACCACTCTGATAACACAGGTAGCATGTGACTATTGGGACATCTATAATAAAACCACTAAAACCACTTCCAGCCACTACATTACGTATGACTCATTGACCGGAGAGCTGACACTGTTGTCTCGATTTCTGCATCTTTAGATCTGAAAGTACAGTATAGAGTTGCAGGGTGTCAATCCGAGATCTCCATGTCAGCGCGAGGGATAAGTCACCCACCCTTACTCATGCGTCGAGTTAAATAGAATGTTACATTAATCCGGAGGATTCGTTATCCGGATTCTTTTACCTGTATTTTGTAGACATTATACAGAAAGATGAACCTATGTCTTTTATTTCACAATAAGTTATAAATAATCTCATTTCATTATATAATATATAGTACTCGTTCTACCTTCATGTTGAGGTTGTATGATTGACTTTGAAGTTTTGTTATTTCCTAGAAATTTGGTTAGATTAAGGCTCTATTTGTATTATTTCCTAAACGACTAAATTATGCAACTAAATTATGCTTCATAACAGTCCGCTAAGTTACCTTAGGAAAACCTTAAAGTTTTCCCAAACTTATGCCAATTTCATAATTTGTAAATATTATGTATGGAATTGAATCTATTGCATATATTCTCCGCCATTGTACAAGATGTTTGTACAGTATTTATCTATATGTATATTTATGTACTCCTATATGCAATGTGCATTTGGTAATACATTGAATTGAATGATCTAAAGTATGTCAAAAATGAATCACACTGCATCATACACCTGCAGGACCCGTCGGTGATGACAGGGCCGGACAGGTGGACATCCAAATTGGTCAACACTAATAATAATAATAATAATTAAATATTGTATTTAAGTGTCACACATATTTTACATAACACATCACTTAACATAATAAAAATACACATATGAAAAATATGCCCAGCAATACTGACTTACGAGACACTACTTAAAATTTATATTTATTAAAACACAGAATCTATTAATGGTGGGAGAAAAGCGAGAGTGGTTGGGGATACCCCAACCGACAAGTCGGCCATCTCCCATCATCAGATTCTCAATAATAAGAACCATATATTACAAGGTACATAACATAAAAAAAAGAATGTAGGCTCAGATCCGATTTAAAATTGTTCTGGCTTTTAAAAAGGCAT